AAAAAAAAAAAAAAAAAAAAAAAAAAAAAAAAAAAAAAAAGGAAAGTTATGTCTCATGATCTCTATGTCTTGAGAGCTTTTGTTAAAGTGAGACAGAAGCCATCATCTTTGTCCAAAATGCTGGTAAAATAGTACTATAGGACCGCTTAATATTACCATAGTTATACAGAATAGAGAATGAGAGGCTTAAGCATAGAATAAAATCAGAGAAATTACAGAGTATGGTTATCCTCAGATATTCTGCTTCAAATGATATGTGTTGTTATAAAAATTGTGTTTGAGGCTGGGTTCAGTGGCTTCCGCCTGTAATTCCAGCACTTCAGGAGGCCAAGGCAGGCAGGTTGTTTGAGCTCAGAAATTTGAGACGAGAACATGGGTGACATGGCCAAACATTGTCTCTACAAAAAATAACAAAAAGTAGCTGGGCATGGTGATGTGCTCCTGTAATCCCAGCTACTTTGGGCGCTGAGGTGGGAGGATCCCTTGAGCCTGAGAGATTGAGCTGGGCGCAGTCAGCAGAGATCGGGTGCCGCTGGCACTCTAGCCTGGGTGGCAGACAAGACTCTGTCTAAAAAAAAAAAGGTGTTTGCAAATAAATGTATTGAAAAAAACTCCATGGGCAGCTTAATGTGAACACTGTTTCATTTTATTTTTCTCCTTTGTTTTTTTTTCTCCTTCAGACATTTCGCATTTTCAGGAACAAAATGATTTAAAAGGATTACTAGAAAATCTCCATCAAAATATCCAATCCAAAAAAAGAAAGAATGTAGAAATTATGTGGCTGGCTGCAACGGTAAGCATTCTCATGACAAATCTGATTTCCTGCCACATGTTAACCAGCAAATATCATCAGTTTTCTGTTGTGCAGGGTCCAACCTCTGCACTTTGGATTACCAGGTGTTATCTTCTGTTATTCTGTGGATTAGGCGTTTTCACTCTTGTTGATAGTTGTGTCCATAGACTAGAACATAAGATGGTAGGAGATGCACTCAAGAAAGAATCTTGCTCATTTGCTATTCTTGCCAACCCTGGATGTGTTCGCCACTCTGAGGAAGCATCTGTGAGTTTCTTGATATGGCATGTCGCAGTGTCAATTGCCCGTATCACCTAGGATTTTGAACTGCTGCTTTAGAGACATATGGTTTCAACAGAATGTGGTTATCAGATCTCTGATTCACAGCTTTAGTAAGGCTCCTGGACATATTTTTCAGTTAATGAGCTTATAAATGTGTTTGTTAATTTGATATTGGCATAGAATTCATCACTGATGGATTGCTCTTGGGTAATGAGCTATATTTTGTATAGCTCTTTCTCATTTAATGGTATCCTTAGGGTAAAAGATCTGCCTGTGTTCTCACCGCAGGTTTCTGTAAGAATTAGACAGAGAGAAATGCCTGTATTTTTAAAGCTCTTATCTGGTAACCATTGAGTCGTAGCTAACATGAAATTTGTGACTGTTAAACAATGAGACCCAAACATCCTTTCATTGGGAATGCATCCTTCCATCAGGAAAGGTACATGTTAAAAATCTTAATGACAAATGCCATGTTTGCAGTTTCTGCAGTGTTACTCTGATAATTTGGAGCTCAGGTTGACCGTGCTCCTAGCATACTCTATTTATTCTCCATCCATAGCATTTAAAACAGATAGTTTTCCCTACTGCCAATGCTTCAATTACAATTCAGTAGTACTTACTTTCTTCTGGGAAAAAGGAGTGGATGATTTACCATGAGCCCATATGAGATAATTAACCAAAAGCAAGGCAGAGTAAAGCTTCTTTAGTTTCCCTTCATGCCTTCTTGCAGCCCCAGGGAAAAACATCAAAGGTAACAGTATGAAATGTTGCTTTCAGGCAGCTCATTTATACTAGTCCCATTTAGCACCATACCATACTACATGAAGGCTGTTTTTAATAGTGTGGCTGCTCTTTGTATCTTCAAAGACCATTATGGTTGTTATTCTAAATAAAGTTTCACAATGGTAGGTCATAAATTGTGTTTTCTATTTTACTAAAAATGTGATAGCATGAAGATAATTTGATATTCATGCCATCTGATGATTTACAAACTTATAAATGTGTCATTATGTATAAATTGTAAAGTTATGTAAATAGATAAAGGATACACACATGTAAACATGAATGTATATTTTCTCTTAGTACATGCAATTTCCCATTTTAATGTATGAAAAAGTTTTTCTATAAATCCCGCACATTTCTAAAATAGTTTTTTGAAATGTGTATACTGAACAAATATGATTTTCTCACAATTTACCACTGAATGAATGATTAGTAGCATTTCTGTTGTGTAATGCCTCCGTTTCAATATTCTATTTCTAAATCATGGACTTTAATGATACTATTAAAATAAAAAATACATAAATTACTTTTGATATTTTCTAAAAATATTGTGTTAATTTTTTTTAATTTTGTTTTCCTCTTTTTAAAAAATGTATTTAATGAAATACTGCTTTAGTTAATATTTTACATTCTAACTAAAAATATAAAGTTATTTTATTTTATCTTCTTTAAATAGTAAAAGTGAGGATTTAAAGAGGACAAATGACAATCAAATGTGTTAAATTAATAGTTCAGGTACTGTAGAAATATAGAAATCAAGGCCTACTCTGTATACTCTGATGAAACTGCCCTTACCTCCACTAGACTTTAAATTTAGAACATTACATATTCTAAGTAGGACAAGCTTAAATAATAGTAACAATAAATTTTAAAGAATATTAATTCAGTTTAAAAATCATATCTTATAAATAGCCACTATGGTCTATTTTATTATTATGAATATAGTCAGGAATTTTAAAAAAATGAAATACTGTTTATTTGAAAGGATTAGAATTTTTTAGATGTAAAAAGATTGGATGGTGAAATCATGCTCTCACATTTTTCTAGTCACTTCTATCGGAAATAGAAATACCAAAGTTCTTAATTAATAGGGATGTATAAATTCAAGTTTAAGTATCAGAATCACAATTAAAACATGGTAATAAATTCTAGATTAGCTGTATTATTTTACCTTCTCTTAAAAGTAGACAACTTTTAAAGATTTCTTGATGACAGAAAGTAAAGAAGACCTTTCTTATATCACATTAGATCTATTTTAAATGCACACTGATTACCATTGTAATGCCTGTTGATTATTGTTATCTCATATTAGAACCCTACCATGGGATAGAAGAGAAAGGAATGGAATAATTTCCCTATTGGCCATAAGACAGTGAGACAAGAGGGTATTGCTGCTCAGTGATTTTTCTCTGATTTAAGTCAGCGTAACAAAAAGAAAGAACGATAGAGGAAAACGGAACATAACAGATGTTGAAAGACTTGATCCTTGAACTTAAATAGGGCTCTGTTTGCATCCTGGTTTTGCTCTGTTATATACAAGTTATTTAACCTACCTAAACCTCTGTTTCCTCATCTGTAAAATGAAAATAATTATACCTCCCTCTAGAATTCCTATGAAGTTTATTTATTTTTAATTTGGGAGTTTTTTTTTTTTTTTTTTTAGACAGAGTCTCAATCTGTTGCCCAGGCTGAAGTACAGTGGCACGATCACAGCCTCAAGTAATCCTCCCACCTCTGACTCCCAAGTAGCTGGGACTACAGGCATGCATCACCATGCCCAGCTAATTTTTATTATTATTATTATTAATAAGAGCTTTCGTTATGTTGCCCCAGCTGGTCTCAAACTCCTGAACTCAAAAGATCCCCCTGCCTTGGTCTCCCAAAGTGTTAGGATTATGGCCATGAGCCACTGCATCCGGCTCCTGTGAAGTTTATTAAAAAGAGCAAATGTATATGAAATTTCTTAATGTTGTACCCTAGTGCACAGCCTATGTGCAATAAATTAATTGATGAGTAGTTCCCTTGTCTGCTGTGAGACACCATGCAGATGTTTAAAATCTCATAACATAAAACCAAGACTAGCAAATATTTCTTATATGTAAAATAAGAGAGTATTAGTTATTTAAGATTCGAATCAACTGTTTGGTCCAGGGAATAGAGTTTTGTTTTGTTTTTCCTTTTACAATGAAGGCATTGTATCTGAGCTGGGATTAGTTTAGCATTGTCATCCACTGCAGACTATGTACCTCCTTGAGTAGTGCGCTGTGTCCTCTGCTGGATATTTCATATCTTATATGGCTTCAACAGTCCCTCACTTCATGTACAAAGAGCTAAATAATTTAGGTCCATTGTGTTGGCTTTTTAAATGAAAAGGTAATGCTTTTACTTTCGATGAGACTGATTGAACCAAGTGATTATCATAAATTAAAACAAACTCAGATTTATATTTGATGTGTTTAGAGTAGAAGTGTTTGGAGGAACCCAATGCTTTACAGTATTACAAATGAACAATAAAGGTTTGTTTTTACATGTGTGTTACAGATTTGCCGCAAACTAAACGGTATTCGTTTCACCTGTTGTAAAAGTGCCAAAGACAGGACATCGATGTCAGTGACACTTGAACAGTGCTCCATCCTGAGAGATGAGCACCAGCTGCACAAGGACTTCTTCATCCGAGCACTGGATTGCATGAGAAGGTATCTCACATGGTTTTTTTCAAGTTTTTTTCTTTTAAGATCATTTTGCATTGTTTTTATTTTTATTTTTCAAAATACATATTTTATTGGAGGACTAAATATTTCAGAACCTCACTGTATTTTCATGGCTTATAGTTTATGACATGAGAGACAGATAATTTTCTCTACCTGTATAATAATTTTTTCTCTATCTATATTCCCTCTACCCATTTTAGGCTACTTTTCTAAACTTTTTGTTTTAGAAAATGTGGCTGTGAACACATTTGATAAAATGCATGATTATATATATTATATATTTCATTAGCTCATTGGCTCAAGTTAAAGGGTCCCAAAAATTTCACATGTAACACTGTAAGAGCAAATGTTCATGACACATAAATATTTATGAGTACTTGCAAAATAAAACAATCTCATTATCTAAACAAAAGCTTTCCAAATTACAACTAACAGATGATATTTCCATGGCCCACAGAGTTGCTGGGTCAGTAACCTACTTTCTAAAATTATTTTCAAATCACTTATCATAAAGGTGGGATGACACTGATACTTTAAAATAGAGGACTAACATGGTTACTCTGCCGACATTTAAAATGCTGTGCCCGAAGTCACGTTTCTTGATTCATTTCCACAGTAATTAAATCTAAACTCTAAGCCATAACGGAAAGGAAAAAGTGCTTCATTCACAATGTCTATCAGCAAGGATACACGTTAATTAAAAAGTTAAACGAAATTGTCTCTTTGCTGTAAAGCCTAGCTTAGAAGCACACTAGGAAGCATAGGACAGACTCTGGGTTCCCAGAAAGGAATGTCATGTGATTCACTGGAGAGAGCTGCTTCTTATCTAGCCTGCCATTTGCTTCCAGTTTTCTTTTAACTGCTGCAGTCTCATTGGAGACATTGACGTTTGCTTGTGCTTGTTCTATGCCTGTATGTTTTCTCACTAACGAGGGGTTTCTGAAGTCCTTTATTTTATCCCATTTCATGTCTCTTGGCATTTTCATTGTTCAGTGGAGCTCTATCATAATTTTTTGATAAATGTATGAGGATGTTTTAGAGGCCTGACATGAACATCTCTGCCATATAAAACACGTTTAGTTGTTATAAAAACTTCTTTCAAAGATAATATCTCAGCATTAACAGGTAAAATACAGAATCCAATTATGAAGTCTTCAAATGTGCAGAAAAAGAACAAAAATGTCACTGTAGATGGAGGAAAGATGCTTGATGAGGAACACAGGAATGTGTGATATTATAGACCAGGAACGCCATAGTACTAAGCTGATTTAGTGAAAAAAACTCTGGAAAATGAAATTGGTGCCTGTTTATTTAAGATAGAAGAGCGGACCCTTAAATTAGAAAGAAAATAATTCAAGCAGGTAAATAAAGGCTGTATCTATACTACACGTTATACTATATATAGAACAAATTTTGGTATTGCCTATGATTGATACTATATACGCAATACATTTGCTCATTATATAGCATTTGTGATGATTCATTTTTGTGTTTTTAAGTCAACGCACTAGAAATTTTATCTAAAAACCCTAAAGGCTTAACTTCAAATCCCTACTATTCTGGTGATATTCTTCTTTTGGTTTTGTGTGTATATGAGGACTGTGCCTGAGTGTGAGGGTTGGTCTGTATTTTCATATATGTATGCCCGTATTTAAGGAAAATAAGATATGTTCTTTTCTTTAATAACTGCCTTCATTTCCCTCTGGGTATTTTGCCTTACAGCACAGGCGCATAGGTTTACAAGCTCTGGTAACAGAGCAGAGTAGATAAGAGCATGAGGCTTGGGAGTCAGCTAATTTCAATCCAGACTGTAAACCATACACTACCCTTAGGCAAGTTAGTATCTCACTGCCTCTTAGTGCCTTAGGGCAAGTTAGTCAACCTCTTACTACATCTCAGTTTCCTCATCTTATAAAACAGACATGATAATAGCAGCTCCATTTTAGTAGTGTTTTGAGGATTAAATGAACTGATACATGTAAAGGAATTAGGACAGTGTTTGGCACATGGTAATCAATAATGGTTGTTGAAAAAATAAATAAATAAATATCAAGAGCTGTGATATTAATACTCTGATTTTCCATGTGCAGAATAATCTAGCTAATTATGATCCTTGCAGTTTTATGTTTATGAATATTTTATGACATAAGCTTGGACTACAACAGCATATATTAAAGTGTCCTGGCAACCTTTGTAAATAAGGTTTCAAATGCAGTATCTTCCCTATTTAAGAAAATCAGTTATTTAAATAGCACTTTAAAAATATGCAAGTGTTTGCAAATGCTGTGTTAATTTTGGAAGCATTACATTCCCTGAATAGGTTATTTTATAAACATTTTTGATGCTAATGTATATTATGTATCTATAAATAATCATAGTATTTAAGATAAAGAAGTCACCTTGGAAATTTCTTATAAACATTTTTGTACATATAAATCTTATAAATTTCTTGCCCCATGTGCAACAGTGGTTCGTGAATAAATATTTCTCAAGTTACTGCTTAATGTTACCAGGGGTCCTATATTGATTACTGCTCAAGTTATCGGGGTCCCAAAATGCTGAGTTCTGACAGTATTTTGCAGTTTTAGTTTTTTGAGAGGAAGCAGATTTGCCTTGGTCCTTGCTCTGCCATCTAGCAAGTCCCAACCTTCAAACAGTGGTTTTTAAGTGAACTCCAGAACCACCTCTGGAACTTTTAAAAAATGCTTACATTTGATTGGTGTGTTAAAAGGTGGAATGATGGGAAGGGAGTGGGTGCAATGTACACTATTCGGGTGATGTTTACACTGAAAGCCCAGACTTCAGCACTCTACACTCCATCCATGTAATAAAGATGCACCTGTCCCCTACATCTATCTTAAAATGTATATCAAGATGTAGTTTAAGTTATCATCATCAGGGGTTCAATTTTATAGTTAAAAACAACATGTCCTGTATTAAAACAAAATACATATGTTTGGACCCCATGTGGATTATAATTGAGAAAATCTGAGGTAGGTCCAGGGTTTTAAGAACTTTACACGTATTCTGAAAACAACCCTGGATTTTTAAAAATCAATGTTTTAAAGGAATTTGATTTGTATGGTTTTGAACTTATTGCAACTTTTAATTTTATTTAATATAAGTTGTAGTTTATTTTACCTTTGAATTATTCTAATCGGTTTCCAGGCTATTTTCTCTGGATTTCTTAAAAATTCACCAAAGTTTCTTTATTATAAAAATTCAAGGGAAAAATAAAGTTTACCAAGGTTATCATATACTCTTTATCTAGTTTATTTTTTCTTATCTATACTTTTTTATCGTATTATGCTTATTTCTGTAGCAATTTCAAATTATTTATGATGAGCAAAGGTTTATAAATGAAAGTAAATAAATAAGGCTCCATTTGGCTCTTATTTAGCAATTCCCCCACCAGAAACAACTCTCTGAAGGTAGAGATTTTTATTTTCCTTTGTTCACTACTATATTTCCAGTATCTAGAACAGTGCCCAATGAAAGCATAATTTTTTCCCCAATAAATATACAACAAGGAATACTTTAATGACATAGGATTCTAAAACTTTTGGGTCCTATGTATTTGGTGGCTTGGTGCATACATAGGCATTTAAATTAAGCATATGAAGTTATCACTTGATTGTGAAATACTGATAGCACAAGTTGCAGAATATGAAAGCAAAAGTCACGGAGAGGTTATCCTGATTCAGAAACAAACAGGCAATAAACAAATCACTTCAGCTCACCACCTGAATTCACCCTTTGTACAATTGTCAAAAAATTCAGACTTCCTTTTTTCTACATATCCAAAATTGCTTTCAGCTGCACGCTTATGACGGGGTCTTCAGGTACCATCTGTTTGATGAAATGGCTTAAATACCACTTCAGATTAGAAAATTAACACAAGGTTTCTGGGTGATCTGACTCTGTAAGACTCTTCTAGTGGTTGCCTATATTGTTAAGACCAAAACAATGATTCTTTTTTTTTTTTTTAATACTTCAAGTTCTGGGGTTCATGTGCAAAACGTGCAAGTTGGTTACACAGGTATACATGCTATGGTGGTTTGCTGCACCCATCAACCCGTCATCTACATTAGTTTTTTTCGTAATGCAATCCCTTCCCTAGCTCCCAACCCCCCGACAGGCACAATGTATGATGTTCCCTCCCTGTGTCCATGCATTATCATTGTTCAACTCCCACTAATGAGTGAGAACATAGCAGTGTTTGGTTTTCTGTTCTTGTGTTAGTTTGCTGAGAATGATGGTTTCCAGCTTCATCCATGTCCCTGCAAAGGACATGAACTCATCCTTTTTTATGGCTGCATAGTATTCCATAGTGTATATGTGCTACATTTTCTTTATCTAGTCTATCATTGATGGGCATTTGGGTTGGTTCCAAGTCTTTGTTTTTGTGAACACTGCCACAATAAACATACGTGTGCATGTGTCTTTATAGTAGAATGATTTATAATCCTTTGTATATTCCCCAGTAATGGGATTGCTGGGTTAAATGGTATTTCTAGTTCTAGATTCTTGAGAAATCACCACACTGTCTTCCACAATAGGTGAACTGATGTACATTCTCATCAACAGTGTAAAAGCATTCCTATTTTTCTGTATCCTCTCCAGCATCTGTTGTCTCCTGACTTTTTAATGATTGTCATTCTAACTGTGTGATATGGTATCTCAATGTGGTTTTGATTTGCATTTCTCTAATGATTAGTGATAATGAGCTTTTTTTCATATGTTTGTAGGCTGCATAAATGTCTCCTTCTGAGAAGTGTCTGTTCATATCCTCTGCCCACATTTGATTTTTTTTTTTTCTTGTAAATTTGTTTCAGTTTCTTGTAGATTCTGGATATTAGACATTTGTCAGATGGATAGATTGCAAAAATTTTCCCGCATTTTATAGGTTGCCTGTTCACTCTGATGATAGTTTCTTTTGCTGTTCAGGAGCTCTTATGTTTAATTAGATTCCATTTGTCTATTTT